AGAGGGAGAGAGGGAGGGAGGGAAATAGGGAGGGGGGAGGGAGAGAGAGAGAGAGAAAGAAAGAGAAAGAAAAGAGGAAACAAAAAGACCAGTTGTCCCCTCACTTGTTTTTATAAACATCTATTATAGGTGAAACAAAACTTACCCAAGTTATAGATAATGTCTATTCACATTTGTACATTACCATTTTTAACAGTTTGAGATAAACTCTACAATGTCTTACACACATTAAACAATATTCAAGTTACTGAATAACAACAATAACAATAATTAACAAAAAAACATACAGCAGAAGCCTCAAGTGTTTCCTCATTGTCTAGTTTACAACTCAAGTACTATTTCCTGTTTGAGTGACAAAGCAGTCAGATAATGAAGTAAAAAAAGACTGTTTTTGCAAGATGGAAGCCAATTGTACTTCTTTCTAAACTATCTTTAAATTAAGGACAAAGTAACTTTAAGAAAAAAAGGCCTGTAGCCGTCTTTTCACCACACATTAGGAATACTATTAATACATTAAAATTAACTTTATGAGTATTATCGCACGAAAAAAGGGCTTGTTCTCATTTCTTTGACAAGAAACCTGGGGGCAGAGGGAGTGGGTTTGGAGCAGTACCCAGGTATAAACACTACAAAATGCAATAACCAACGCTGTACAGCTATGAGATTTCTTTCCCATATTGACTTCTGTGTTAATCTTGTTTACGCATGCTCTCAAAGACATGCACTGTCGAAACAAAAACTGCAAAAGAACCTGAAGGCATGATATGCAACTTCTCCTCTCATGCTTTAGTAAACCTATTGTTTAAGTTTGAAAAAGAAACCAATATATATTTTCTCTATTTAGACTGGAAACACATGCATGGGGACACCCGGCGCGCAGGGCGGGGTGTGCTGCGTAACCCTGAGCACTGAGGAACAGAAAGTAAAGCCAGTTTGGGAAGTTCCAAGCATTTTTAAACCAATTGTGGTTTGTAGCCTTTAACAAATTCAGACAGACACATTATGCGTGCGTGTGCGCACGTACATACACACATACACACACACACATACACACGCACACACACACACACACACACACACACACACACACACACACACACACCCGCCCGACACACACACACACACACACACACACACACACACACACGCACCCTCCTCCCTCTGCTCACAGCAACCAAGAGCAGAAGGGTGGCCCAAAGGGAAACAAAGGAACGATGTGTGTACCACTGTGGTGCTGACTTCCGGGTTTTCTATTCCAGGTTTGCCCTTCCTCCCCCAAAATTAACTAGAGAGCACAACTGAAAAAAATATATAATTCTTTGGAAACTGTCCCTGATTTTTTTTGCATCTCCGAAAGCTGTGTTCTCTAGGCGTTGCTCAGGCTGGCAATACTCTGCGGATGGTGCTGCTGCCACAGCTGCTTCTGCTGTACCGCGAGCTGCTGGGACTGGTCTGAAGTTGACAGGAGATTTACAAGAGGAGACACACAATTTGCCGGAATGATCAAACCTGTAATTAGCAATAGAATCTATAAAGTAACATGCAGTAAAAACCACTGTATTTTACAGCTTCACAGCACATTCCAAATGAGGCATAATAGTAAGTGTAATGAGCGAGCCTTCCACATAAAGATTAGGCAAGTCCTCAATGACTGCGATTGGTCCACTGAGATGCAACCCGATCCTTCCGCACAGAAACCCCAGTGGATGCACGCATCCAGGGCAACAGCATCCCCCTACTCAAAACAACGGAGAACCCAGGACAGCTCTCTTCCCCCATACAATTTTTACATCAGGCCTTACCCTTGCTAGGCAAGGGCTCGACCACCATGCCACCATCCTTAATTTTTTTCCAATGAGATTTTTTTTGCCGGTGGTGGGGCCTGAACTCTGGGCCTGGGTGCTGTCCCTCAGCTCTTCAGCTCAAGGTTAATGCTCTACCACTTGAGCCACAGCACCATTTCCGGCTTTTTCTGCTTATGTGGTGCTGAGGAATCAAACCCAGGGCCTCATGCATGCGAGGCAAGCACTCTACCACTGAGCCACCTTCCCAGCCCCTGAGATTATTTATTGTGTAGCATTTTATGCTTTCTGCCCAGGGGCTAGTCTTGGACCATGACCCTCCTATCTCTTGTCTACTCAGTATCTTGTGTTACAGACATGCACCTAGTATAGTACTGGCCTTGTTATTGAGATACAGTCTTATGATTTTTTTTTTTGGCCTGAGCTTGCAGCTTGCCTCAAACCACAATCCTTCTATCTCTGCCTCCCCAATAGTACAGCACTTTTTTTTGTTATCGTTCAGTTCCACAAAAGCATATGGCTACAACTTTCTTTGTAATTTGCTGAGCCACAAAATGAAGGTTGTGAATGCACCCCACCAGCCCCCACCCTGCCCTGGACCAGTGATCTCAAGAAGGCAGAGTGTGCTTGATAAACTGGAAAACTAAGGCCTCAAAAACTTCAACTCTGACATGACACATGGGAACATGGACTCAGTGTTCTAGATAAGCTTCTTCTCCGCCCCCCCCCACCCCTTTTGGTGCCAATCCTAGGGCTTGAACTCAGCCTGAGTGCAGTGCCTTAGCTTTTTTGCTTAAGGCTGGTGCTCAGCACCTGGTTTAGATAAGCTTATTTTAGCTGGAAACCCAGACTTCCATGATTTTTTTTTTGACAGTCCAGGGACACTGTCCCTGAGCTTCTTTGCTTACGGCCACCACTCTACTATTTGAACCACAGAGCCATTTCTGGCTTTTTCCATGTAAACAGTATTGAACCCAGGGCTTCATGTATGCTGGGTAAGCACTCCACCGCCAAGCCACACTCCCAGGCCTCCCCTTAATTTTTACATGTTGGCAATTAATTTAACCAAAAACTCAGTGTAAGGGATGAAACAAAAGTTCATGCACAAACTCTGGCCATAAAGTGCCCATCTCTGAAACAGGAAAGCTGCCATAAGGGAGACTCTATGCACTAACTAGCCGCCTGCTGGACACTTGTAGCTGAGCACTACTCTTGCTCTCTGCAGGGGCTGGCCTTGTGCCTTGTGTCCTGAATTATCTGGGCCTGACTCAGGTCAGAGCTCTGAGTGGAAGACTGGGATGTCCTCACAGTAGGGAGCCCCACAGCCCCAAGCAGGAGCAGCTGCAGAGGTGACTGCATAGATGGCCCAGGCAGACCACACTGAACCGCTGGTTGTCCACGCTCACAGGGTACAAAGGCAGGTTTCATACTCACTGCTGAGAGAACTAGAGTGTTAGAAGAAAACAAGACAGGCTAGGACATTCTTCACAACTTCAACTAAAACAAAACCTTTGACTCACCTACAATTCGTTGCCCATCTTCTGTTCTTAGCCGAACTATCTGCATTTTCACGTTTGTGCCACTGACAGAAGCAAGAACACCCTCTACTTTAGTCCAGACGCTCAGCACCGAGCCACACAACACATAGTACGTGCGGCAACGAAGACCTATTTCACACACCAATCCCAAGCTTGCTTTTTTGCAATTGCCACGCCTAGGAGAAAGAGAGAGAGAGAAAAAAAGGATGTGCTCTAGCTGAGTTTCAAGAAACAGGGTCTAACACAATTTGCTTTTACTGACTTCCTGAGTTTTCCCTTTTCTTTTTTAATTTAATTTTATTTGTGAACATACTGTATACAGAGGGGTTACAATTACATGGGCAGGATAATGCATACATTTCTTACCAAGCTTTGCAGCCTCTTCCTTTGTTTACCCTTCACATCCCTTCCCAGCCTCCCCCCTCCCCCCCAAGTTTTCCCTTTTCAATTGAAGGGTCACTACTCATTTTCATACAGCTTACCCAACTGTATGTAAGAGGGCTATTTACTGCTGGTAGCATCTACATATTTTTAACCCGATACCCATTTTCTTACAGCTATTTCTTTTTTTTTGGTCCGGTCGTGGGGCCTGAACTCTGGGCCTGGGTGCTGTCCCTCAGCTCTTCAGCTCAGGGCTAGCACTCTACCACTTGAGCCACAGTCGGCTTTTTTCTTATGTGGTGCTGAGGAATCGAACCCAGGGCCTCTGGCATGCAAGGCAAGTGCTCTACCACTGAGCCACCTTCCCAGCCCCTCTTACAGCTATTTCTTTAACCACCACTAATACCTTGTTGTAAAGCAGATTAGTGACAAGTCCTCAGTAACCAAAAGGGAAAAGACCAAATAGAACTGTAAGAAAAACAAGCTGGAGGCTTGACTGAAGTAGTATGGTACTGCCCAAGGAAAGTCAAGGCCTGAATTCAAACATCAATGCAGAGAATGAGGGAAGGGGAAGGGAGGCTGGGAGCAGTGGGGAGACAGATTGGGTCCATTAACAGGGTCTCGTCCACAAAAGCTCAGTAAGTACTTTTCATGAGATGAACTACCTCTAACAATAGTTAACTTGTTCATTTACACATAAGGGCATATTAGTATGAATGAAGGTATGTTTAAATCCTGACATTTTACAACATGAAACATGAAAGTACTAACCAGTAAGCATGTGTACACGTATCTGCAGATGAGTTATACTGATCCAACCAGTGTACCAGGGCATCATCAGAGACCACCTGTAAAAATACAATTGGAATCCCACTGAAATAGTACCATCCTCAAGAAAACCAACTGCTTAACTTGGTCTCCAATTAGAGGCAGCTAACATCATCTCTATACAGAAAACCTAGCCCCCCCCCCAAAAAAAAAAAAAGAAAGAAAAGAAAACCTAGCCCTTACTATCAGGTAAATTTGGATGTGATTCAAAATGTTCTACAATCATGTTTTCCTTCCTATAAAATAAAATTTTTAAAGGGCAAGCTGAGTGATACTTGTTTTTAAATAAGAGTGGCTAGAAATATTAATGTAAAGCAATACCAAAAGTAAAAACTAACAGGAATGTTTGTGGAAAAGTTACTTAGAATTCTCTAGACTCACTGCAAGGGATAAACATTATCGCAAGCTCAAAATAAGCAAAAGTTGGTGGGAAGGAATTTTCCTCAGCACTGGAAATTGGCTTCAGTAATCACATACACTTCCAGATCATACTCTTAACAATTACTCAATGGTCGGTGAGATTAAGACTAGGCTAATTAATGCAGTAGCACCCCTTATTATCCTGGAAAACGAACCAAATTCAAACTGAAAAAATAATTTTATGTCTGGACACAGCTCTCCTTAACACGGGTTCAATATGTTAAGATTTTAAAAAAGGTATTGACAATATTATGAAAAATTAAGAAAGTACCTTCTTATACTTTTTTCTTAGATCAGCGTAGATTTCTAATTTGAGTTGCTTCCCTGTATTTGGCCGATAAACTAAGAAGAGTTTCTTTTTAGGATTCACTTCTTTAACTAAGATAGCAGTCTTCTTGTTGTTCCTTATCTTTTAAATACAAAAAGGAGAAAACAAACATTTGCTAGCACACAGTTTAGAACATGGTTTTATACTATTACACCACCAAGCAGTCACTGAAACCGCCCCCAGATGATGGACTATGGAGCCGTGGGGCAGGTGCACCACCTGTGCAGCCTTTTTTGTTTTGTTGTTGGTTGTGGGGCTTCAACTCAGGGCCTGGCACTGCTCCTGAGCTTTTTACTCAAGTTAGTGCTCTACCACTTTGAGTCAGAGCCCTACTCTGGTTTTTGAGTGGTTAACTTGATGTAAGACTCTCACATGGACATTTCTGGCTGGGCTGGCTTTGAACTGCAATTCTCAGATCTTAGCTTCCTGCGTAGCTGGGATGACAGGCACGAGCCACCAGAGCCCAGCTCTATGAAGCCTTGAACAAAAACTGCACCCAACAAAAAGCTGCTCAGCTCAAGCAAAAAACAATGTCTGAGGTCCATAGTGTTCTTTAGCAAAGGGGCAGGAATAATTTTACTGTACAAAATTGACCAGCACAGACGGCACGCCAGTGGCTCATGCCTGTAATCCCAGCTACTCAGGAGGCTGAGATCTAAGGATTGAGGTTTGAAGGCAGTTCTGGCAGTAAAGTCTGTGAGACTTTTATCTCCAATAAACTACTCAAAAAAGCTGGAAGTAAGGCTATGTCAGGTAGTAGAGTGCTAACCTTGAGCACAAAGAAGCCCAGAGACAGCACCCAGGCCCTGAGTTCAAGCCCCAGGACAGGCAAAAAATACCAAGGCTGGGAATGTGGCTTGGTTTGGTGGTAGAGTACTTGTCCAGCATGCATGAAGCCCTGGGTTCCATTCTTCAGTACCATATACACAGAAAAGCTGGAAATGGCTCTTTGGCTCAAGGGGTAAAGTGCTAGCCTTGAACAAAAGAAGCTCAGGGACAGTGCCTAGGCCCTGAGTTCAAGCCCCAGGCCTGGCCAAAAAAAAAAAGAGGGGGGAAAAAAAAAAGAAAATACCATTTATAAGTAGTGAACACAAGGGGCTCTGAACAGGAAGATTCTGTGTGTGCTGGTGGTGGCGGGGGTAGCCCACACATGTAAGGCACCACACCCCACTCCAGGGCCCAAACTCAGGGAATAGACGCTGTCCTCAAGCTTTTTTGTTCAAGGCTAGTGCTCTACCACCTGAACCACACAGCTCCACTTTCAGCTTTTTTGTGGATATTTGAAGATAATGGAGATTAAGAGTCCTGTGGATTTTCCTGCCTGAGATGGTTTCAAACAGAAATCCTCAGATTTCAGCCTCCTCAGTAGCTAGGATTACAAGGCATAAACCACTGGCACACAGCTACATAACAATTCTAAATTTGCATCTAGTAACACTTCCTCACAATGTATATTGCTAGAACTATGGCATAGAGCAATGAAAGAGAATTATGGCATGTTGGTGTGTTCCTACAATCTCACAGTGGAGGCAGGGCTGGGAATGTGGCTTAGTGGTAGAATGCTTGCCTAGCATGCATAAAAGCCCTAGGTTTGCCAGGCATCGGTGGCTCACGCCTGTAATCCTAGCTACTTAGGAGGCTTAGATCTGTGGATCACGGTTCAAAGTCAGCCTGGGCAGGAAAGTCCATGAGACTTTTTTTTTTTGGTCAGTCATGGGGCTTGTTCTCTGGGCCTGGGCACTGTCCTTATGTTCTTTAGCTCAAGGCGAGCTCTCTACCGCTTGAGCCGCAGCGCCACTTCCAGTTTTCTAGTGCTTTACTGGAGATAAAGAGTCTCACGGACTTTCCTGCCCGGGCTGGCTTTGAACCTTGATCCTCAGATCTTAGCCTCCTAAGTAGCTAGGGTTACAGGCGTGAGCCACCGGCGGCTGGCTGACTGACTCCGACAGACTCTTATCTCTAATAAACCACTAGAAAACTGGAAGCAGTGCTATGGCTCAAGTGGTAGAGTGCTCTCCTTGAGCTGAAGAGCTGAGGGACAGCGCCCAAGCCCAGAGTTCAAGCCCTATGATCCAAAAAAATAAAAAAAGGCCCTAGGTTTGATTCCTCAATACCAGTACCACATAAACAGAAAAGCCAGAAGTGGTGCCTGTGGCTCAAGTGGTAGAGTGCTAGCCTTCAGCAAAAGAAACTCAGGGACAGTGTCTAGACCCTGAGTTCAAGCCCCAGGCCTGGTGAAAAGAAATGACAGGAGAGGAGAGGAGAGAAAAGAATAGTAGAGGTAGGGAGGATGTCCATTTCCAGCCAGGCTGAGCTACATAGTGAACCCTTTCTCAATAAAAGGGGGAGAGGGAGAGGGGAGAGGATTATATATTAAACAGTCATACTTGCAATGACAAGTAAAAGCCGTCATCTGGTCCTGTCAGATCAGCCCAAATCTTGGTTGCTTCCTCCCAGGACATCCCCCTTTCCACACTAATCTGTAAAGAAACCACAAGTTCCAATTAAACTCACACCTGCAAACGCCCATCCCAAACACTCCTTAAATGAATACATTTTCCACACTTACTGTATATAATTCCACATGGCCAGAGGTTGAGTACCCTGGAGTTAGAAACTTCTTCACATCACTTTTCCTCACCTTTTCATCCCCTGAACCAAGATCTTGGAAGAGAAAGAGCGAAATGAAATGTAGTCAACACCCTGGCTGTTAATACACATGACAACTGAAAAGTCCTCAACTGACCTAGTATTCCCATATCGTATCTTCCATTTTTTTTAGCATTTTGAACAACCGCAGTGAGTGTGTCCGCAAAGTACTGAAACAAGGCGTTCTGCTGATGCACCTCCATGCCCAGAATTCTATTTAAGAACTTTCCTATGTTGTTGTAATCTGCAATGACAATATCACACAAACAATTTTATACATTCAGAGCGTCATCAAAACATTTTTATAGCTGGGTGCTGGTGGCTAACACTTGCAATCCTGGCTATTCAGGAGAAATGAGACCTAAAGGTGGCACTTCAAAGCCAGCCCAGGCAGAAAGTCCCTAGACTCCTTTCTCCAATTAACCACCAGAATACTGGAAGTGGCACTGTGGCTCAAAGCGCTAGAGTATTAACTTTGAGCACAAAGAGCTCCGGGAAGCTGGCAATGGTGGCTCACACCTGTAATCCTAGCTACTCAGGAGACTGAGATCTGAGGATGTCAGTTCAAAGCCAGCTCGAGCAGGAAAGTCTGTGAGACTCGTATCTCCAATAAACCACTAGAAAACCAGAAGTGGCGCTGTGGCTCAAGCGGTAGAGCGCTAGCCTTGAGCTGAAGAGCCCAGGGACAGAGCCCAGCCCGAGTTCAAGCCCCCTGACCAACCAAATAAAAACTCAGCTCACCTCGGCTTATTCTGTGGCCAGCCACACTGCAACTCGCCTATTTCTACCTCTCAACAGTAGCACAATAGCAACACATGCTCCAGAGACGTTTGCTGGCTTTTTGTTTTTGGGGTGGTGGTGGTAGTGGCAAGTATTGAGCTTGCACTCTACTCCTTTCATCTCCTAGTCAAGTACGCTAACCACTTGGATTATGCGCAGGCCCTTTGCATTAGTTATATATAGAATGGGATCCCACTGTTTTGGTTCAGGCCAGCCCAGACTGTAATCTACTTCTCACAAGGCTGGGATACAGATGCATAGCACCATACCAATTAGTCAGTTGAGATGGAAATCTTTAACATTTTGCCTGGACTGGCCTCAAATTTCAATCCTCCTGATCTCTGCCTCCGAGTAGCTGGTATTAGACACGAGCAAGTATATCTAGCTTTTTGTTTTGTACTTGTCTCTCACTGTACAGCCTAGGTTGGCCTTGAATTCTGGATATTCTTCACTTACCTTCCCAAGTGCAAGGACTACATATACCCAGGTTCAGGCCTAAGCTTCAAGCTCCAAGACTTGCAAAAAAAAAATCCATTTCTGACTGAAGGGAAAAAAAAAAATTCATTTCTGGCACAAGTAGGCACTATTTTTTTTTTGGGGGGGGGTGGCAGGCTGAATCCTGGGGCTTGACTTCAAGGCCTAGACACTGTCCCTAAGCTTTTTGCTCAAGGTTAGCACTCTACCACTTGAGCCACCACTATATTTTTGGATTTCTTGGTAATTGGAGATAAGAGTCTCATGGACATCCAGGCACTGGTGGCTCACAGCTGTAATCCTAGCTACTCAGGAGGCTGAAATGTGAGGATCGAGGTTAAAACCAGTCTGGGCAAGAAAATCTCTAAGACTCTTTACCCACAATTACATACAGAAAAAGCAGAAGTGGCACTATGGCTTAAGTGGTAGAGCGCTCACCTGGAGCAAAAAAGTGCTTAGGCATAGCACCTAAACCCAGAGGTTTGAGGCCCAGGACCAGCCCAAAAAAAAAAAAAAGAGGCTTATGGACTTTTCTGCTCAGGCTGGCTCTGAACACAAGCCTTCAGCCTGCTGAGTTGCTAAGATTAGCATGAGCCACCAATGCCCAACTACAAGTAGGAATTTTGCAGTTTCAACTTTACGAACACAATTTAGCAGATGAAAATGTTAGTTCTCCAACATTAGTAAATATTAACTATGAAAGTCAGTGAATCTCAACCTTGGCTGTCCACTGTAATACCAGGGAGCCCTGGGATAACATTTGGGCTCCACTACTGGACCTGTATTTTTTAAAAGCTTGGCAGCCAGGTTTACTCTATATTGTGGGATTAAAAACTAACTTGAAGCGTCCCTTGTCAGCTCCCAAAAGCACAACTAAGGGAATGGACTTCGTTACCATGTAACAATTAGATGCGGCACAGGCATTCACAGTATTACCTTTATCAAGAGTAAGGATTCCTGAGCGATCTTCTACATTGATCAGTCCCACTCCTATCAGTCCTTGTCGAACATCTGCAAGAAAGTAAATGAACGCACAACATTGTGGAAGGACTGGGCATAGCTCATGTGGTAGACCACTTGTCTACCATGTTCCTGAAGACCTAGGTTCAATCTCCAGGACATCGAAAAAGAAACAAAAGAAATACAAATGACTTGAGAGTTGTTGAACTAATCAAATTGGATCAAGTCTAGCATTAAGATACAACCTATATTTGGTTCTACTGTGCCACATAAATCAATGAGACTGTGTCCACAGTCTACAAACATCTTTGGATATACCAATCTTTTTTTTTTCTTTTTGGGGGGAGGGGTCAGTCCTGGGGAGTGAACTCTGGGCCTGGGTGCTGTCCCTCAGCTCTTCAGTTCAAAGCTAGCACTTTACCACTTAAGCCATAGTGCCACTTCCAGACTTTTCTGTTTATGTGCTGAGGAACTGAACCAAGGGCCTCATGCATGCAAGGCAAGCACTCTAACACTGAGCCACCTTCCCAGCCAGATATACCAATCTTATTCTAGATTCTATGACTTCAATTCCTTGCTCTATTTTTTTCCTTATTGTAATGGATTGAACCCAGCAGCCCTTCTACAGCTGAGCTATATCCCTAGCCCTTCATTAAACTATCTTAATTTCCAATAGCAACCCTGGACATCTTACATGAATCCTGTCTATATAGACAACACCTAGACTTTCTGAACAACTTTGCATGAATAGCAAAATACAATGAACTCCAGGAAATGAAAACAAAGTTTTTCCTTTATTGCTGTTTTTGTTTTCTTTCCTTTTTGCTTCATTTGTTTGCTTGTATGTTTTTGGGAGTGTAAGGGAGGTACAGAAATAGAGGAACAAAGGGTAAACAAATACAACAATGGCACTCACTGGACACTATGTTGAAAATGAACTATATAACTTATAATGATGGAGGGAAAAACTGGGAGAGTGAGGAAAGGGTGACATTGTCCAAAACGAAATGTACTCCTTACCTGACTTGCATAACTGTAATCCCTCTGTACATCAACTTTACTTAAAAAAGTAAGTAGCCAGGTTGGCTGTGAAGGTGGCTCAGTGGTAGAGCGCTTGCCTTGAATGCATGAGGCCCTGGGTTCGATTCCTCAGCACCACATAAGCAAAAAGAAAAAAGGCGGAAGTGGTGCTGTGGCTCAAGTGGTAGAGCGCTACCTAGCCTTGAGCTGAAGAGCTGAGGGACAGTGCCCAGGCCCAGAGTTCAGGCCCCACGACCGGACCCCCGCCTCAAAAAAAAAGTAGCCAGGGGGCTGGGAAGGTAGCTCAGTGGAAGAATGCTTGCCTTGCATGTTTGAGGGCCCCCTGGGTTCAATTCCTCAGCACCAAGTAAGCTGGAAGTGGCACTGTGGCTAAAGTGGTAGAGCACTAACCTTGAGCTGAAGAGCTGAGGGACAGCGCCCAGGCCCAGAGTTCAGGCCCCACAAACAAACAAACAAAAAGTAGCCAGTTGCCAGTGGCTCACGCCTGTAGTCCTAGCTACTCAGAAGGCTGAGATCTGAGGATCACAGGTCAAAGCCAGCCTGGGCAGGAAAGTCCATGAAACTCATATCTCCAATAAACCACCAGAAAAAAAACCCGGAAGCTGCGTTGTAGCTCAAGTGGTAGAACGCTAGCCTTGAGCTAAAGAGCTGAGGGACAGTGCTTAGGCCCAGAGTTCAAGCCCCACAACCGACAAAAAATAAAAAATAATAAATAAATAAAAGTAGCCAGGTGCTGGTGGCTCATGTCTATAATACTAACTTGCTCAGGAGGCTGAGATCTGAGAATCCAGGTTCAAAACTCAGCCTGGGCAGGAAAGTGCATAAGACTTGTATCTCCAATTAACCACGAGAAAACCAGAAGTGGTGATTTGGATCAAAGTGGTAGAGAAGTAGCCTTGAGCAAAAAGGGCTCAGGAACACTGCCCAGGCCCTGAGTTCAAGCCCTACCACTGACAAAAAAGGGAGAGAAAATAGGAAAATACTAATACTAGAAGCAGGGCTCAGCAATAAAATGCTGCCTGACAAACAAGAGACCCAGGGTTCAAAATCTAGTACCTAAAAAAATAAATGGGACACCGGGTGCTGGTGGCTCACGCGCCTGTCATCCTAGCTACTCAGGAGGCTGAGATCTAAGGATCATGGTTCAAAGCCAGCCCAGGAAGGAAAGTCTGTGAGACTTTTTTTTTTTTTTGGTCCAGTGGTGGGTCTGAACTCTGGGCCTGGGTGCTGTCCCTCAGCTCTTCAGCTCAAGGCTAGCGCTCTACCACTTGAGACACAGTGCCACTTCCGGCTTTTTTTTTTTCTGCTTATGTGGTGCTGAGGAATTGAACCCAGGGCCTCATGCATGCAAGGCAAGCGCTCTACCACTGAGCCATCTTCCCAGCCCTTTGAGACTCTTATCTCTAGTAGAAAGGGGCACGGTGGTTCAAGCTGTAAAGTGCCTTGAGCTAAAGAGCTGAAGGACAGCACCCAGGCCCAGATTTCAAGCCCCACAACTGACAGAAAAACAAAAACAAAAAACAAACAAAAACAACTAGCTGATTAAATAACAGTGTAAATAAGGACATAATGCTTCAGGCCAGATGTAAATAATGCAAAAGGGAAGTAATACCTAAACAGACAACATGCCTGAATCATATTACTGATAGGCGAGGAGCTTTTTTTTTTTTTTTTTGTCAGTCCTGGGCTTGAACTTTGGGCTGGCATTGTCCCTAAGCTACTCAGCTCAAGGTGAGTACTCTAGCCCTGGAGCCACAGCACCACTTCAGGTTTTCTGGTGTTTAATTGGAGGTAAGAGTCTGGTAGCTTTTCTTGCCTGGGCTGGCTTTGAACCTTGATCCTCAGCCTCCTGAGTAGCTAGGATTATAGGCATGAATCACCGGTGCCCAGCTTGGTGAAGCTTTTAGGAAATATGAATATGGGATATAGCTGGTTGAAGTACATAACACACACACACACACACACACACACACACACACACACACACACACACGGGTTCAATCTTCAATCCTGACACTGCAAAAATAAATAAAAATAGTAAAAAAAAAAAATATTGGTAGTAGGAGAAAGGAAGGAGAGTGTGGTATGAAGGCTCCACCACCTCCAGACTTACATAATAGTTGAACAGGAGCTATTTTAGGAAGTGATTCTACAGGAGAAAGAGATCACGAGGATATAAGGATAACTGTGGCCGGGCGCTGGTGGCTCACGCCTGTAATCCTAGCTACTCAGGAGGCTGAGATCTGAGGATCATGGTTCAAAGCCAGTGCGGGCAGGAAAGACCGTGAGACTCCTATCTCCAATAAACCACCAGAAAACCGGAAGTGGCGCTGTAGCTCAAGTGGTAGAGTGCTCGCCTTGAGCTGAAGAGCTGAGGGACAGCACCCAGGCCCAGAGTTCAGGCCCCACGACCGGACCAAGTGGGGGGGCGGGGGGTGGCTGGGAAGAGATGTGAAGGGTAAACAAAGGAGGAGGCTGCAATGCTTGATAAGAAATGTACTCATTATCTTGCCCATGTACAGTATGTTCACAAAAAATAAAAATTAAAAAAAAAAGGATAACTGTGTATATTCAGTGCCCTTTACTGTGTTTAAATGTATATATGTATACATAGATGTACACACACACACTCACGCACAGAGAAAATCCATCTACGGCTGGGAAGGTGGCTCAGTGGTAGAGCGCTTGCCTTGCATGCCCAAGGCCCTGGGTTCGATTCCTCAGCACCACATTAAACAAAAAGAAAAAAGCCACAAGTGGCACTGTGGCTCAAGTGGTAGAGCGCTAGCTTTGAGCTGAAGAGCTGAGGGACAGCGTGCAGGCTCTGAGTTCAGGCCCCATGACCAGACCCCCCCCCCAAAAAAGAAAAAGAAAATCCATCTACTCAGCAATGAGTGAAGGTCAGAACTGTCATTATTACGCAAATATCAAATCCATTATACTTAAAGCTAAGTTATTCTAGACTGTGAGATAAGTTTATTTTTTGGAGAACTGGAGATGGAACCCAGAGCCTCATATTCACTAGGAGGCAATTAACAGCTCTACTACTTGAGCCACACCCCCAGTTAGGACTTATTGTAGTAACAGTGTACTATTATTATTATGCTATTTAAAGATAATGAGTTGAGGTAGCTCACACCTGTAATCCTAGCTACTCAGGAGGCTGAGATCTGAGGATCACCGTTCAAAGCCAGCCCAGGCAGAAAAGTCCAAAACACTTATCTCCAATAAGCCACTAGAAAACCTAAAAGTGGCACCGTGGCTTTTTTCTTCTTCTGCTTATGTGGTCCTGGGGAACTGAACCCAGGGCCTCATGCGTGCAAGGCAAGCACTCTACCACTGAGCCACCTTCCCAGCCCTGTGAGACTCTTTTTTTTTTTTAAATTTTATTTGTGAACATACTGTACAGAGGGGTTACAATTACATGGGCAGGATAATGCGTACATTTCTTACCAAGCATTGCAGCCTCCTCCTTTGTTTACCCTTCACATCCGTTCCCAGCCTCCCCCCTCCCGAGACTCTTATCTCTAGTAAACCACTAGAAAACTGGAAGGGGCACTGTGCCTCAAGCAATAAAGTGCTTGCCGTGAGCTGAAGAGCTGAGGGACAATGCCCAGGCCCAGAGTTCAAGCCTGATGACAGACGAAAAGCAAAGATAATGAGCTGGGCCCCAGTGGATCACCTGCAATCCAACTGAATTGTAGTTCAAAGCCAGTCCAGGCAGGGAAGCACATGAGACTCTTATCTACAATTAACTACCAAAAAGCCAGAAATGGAGCTATGGTTCAAAGTAGAGTACTAGCCTTGAGCAAAAGAAGCTCAGGGATGGTGACCAAGCCCTGAGTTCAACCCCAAATGAACACAAAATAATTTAAAAATACTATTTTTAAATTACTAAGTCTAAACTTTGAATTACTAAGTCTAAAATACATTACTTAGGAAAAAAACAAAGAAATCAATCACTGTGTGAGTTACCTTTGAAGAACTCTCCAGGGTAGTCTGGAGGTGGCGACACCATAGGAGAATCCAAGTTGACAATGGATTTCATGACAATTTCTAAAGCGTTTCTTCCATACTATTAAAAAAAAAAAATCAAAGCACAATTTCAACATTTGGAAACACTTCAATCACATCACTGAGGTGTGGCTCAAGTGATAGTGTGCTGAAAACAAAATAAAAACTATTACACCCAAAATTCATGAGCAGCACTCTCCATAATCTTCATGTATTTTTATACTTCCAACCTCATGCCTCTGCACAGACACTCAGTAACTCAGCAACATTACTTCTGGGAATGCACACCGGATGCACTCTCTGACATCTGTTATGTTACTTCTGGGAATGCACACCCGACGGCACTCCCTCATATCCATTATATTTCTTTTTCCAAACTCAAAAAGCTGACTACATTGCAGCGTGTTCACCAAACAAGTAATCTGCATGAAAATCTGATCTACATTCATGAAGCTATGATATTAAAGCAATACCAGAATCATAGAGGCAGTTTTGTTTGAAAGCATAATCACATTCACTTGTTATCACCGAGGACATTACACATCTCCACAAGGTTACAGACATTTAAGGCCAAAATGTACCTTATTATCAAAGTTGAATCTGCTCAGGTCTCTAGATTCTGTAGCTCTTCTATCACCATGAGTAAGCGCACCCTTGGCAAAACACAAAATTTCTGATTAAGGGTCTAGTCCTTTCATAAGCAATCAGGTAACACAGATTATCTCAAATACCCATCTACTATAACCACAAAACTTACCAAACTCTCAAGTCTTTTAGCAACAATAGAAGCAAATCTTTGCTCTCCTGCCAATTCAGAAATCAGAAAGACATATTCAGGTGCAGTAACTTGATTTGATCTGTGAGTTCTTCCTGTAAGGACAATTTTTTAGATCTCACTAATTGTTTTCATTAGGTAGAAATATCTTAGCATTGACATCAACTGTTCTACAAACAATATCCTTAGAAATGAGGGAAAATTAATTGGCATGTAACGTTTTCAATAGTGCCACAAAAGAACACCAACAACAGTGATGTGACTGGTAGCTACGGACACAGCGAAATCCCCGTCAAGAGGAATAGAGCCTGTGTGGAGCTGTTAGATGGGATAGCACAGCTGCTGCCACTACCCCAGTACTGCTTCATGACAATGTTGCTCATTCACAGCATGCTGGGTTCTCAAGGTAACCTTACAGGAGCATGTCAGATGGATGGACATAGCAATGCACCTGCACTTGAGTCACCAAGGCTGAAACCAGACACTACCGAATAAAGATTCTCACAAGAAGCCTGGTCTTGGACAAAATGCCAGGAGAACCACAATAATCCCATGAGACACCTTATACAATTTTAAAACAGGTGACAGGATTCATAATGCACTATGTGTCACAATGTATATTAAAGAAAATCTCAAATACAAAATTTACGATTTTAAGGAAGGTCTCAATACCGAATTGTTGAATCGCTCTATCAGCACTCCATGGTAACTCCAAAGTCATATGAACTCTTCGCCTTTGATTTTTAGCTCTCCTATCTGCTTGCAATGAAATACCTGAGCTGGCAGCTTCTGAGATGATAGCAATATTCTGTTTCAGATTTAAGAAGAAAAGAAAAATCATACATGTGGAAGGACAAGCAGGACAATGCCATAAACAACCTCCTTCAGTAGACTTTGGTATGCCAATACCAACCTTTTCCTCCCTTCAGTACTAGGACCTCCAATGTCAGTTTAGTATACAGCTGCCTAGAATCAAGATAGCTGTCCTGTCCCCCTTACTAGGGGTGTGGGTGTGTGTGCCTGTGCGTGTGCCTGGGCGCTGTCCCTCAGCTCTTCAGGTCAAGGCTAGCACTCTATCACTTGAGCCACAGCACCACTTCCAGCTTTTTCTGCTTACGTGGTACTGAGGAATTGAACCCAGGGACTCATGCATGCAAGGTAAGCATTCTGCCACTGAGCCATCTTCCCAGCCCACTCTGGATACTCTTGAATCTCATTCTAGACTCACATCTAGATGACAATGTATGCCATGACACTGTGTTTTTATACTGATTAAAAATTCAAGTTGGGGGTTGGTGGCTTACAGCTATAATCCTAGCTACTCAGGAGGCTGTGATCTGAGGATCGGATCAAAGCCAGCCCAGGCAGGAAAGTCCATGAAACTTTTTTTTTTTTAAAGAAATAACTTATTTATTTATATCATTATTACTATTTTTTTTTTGTCTGTCATGGGGTTTGAACTCTGAGCCTGGGTTCCATTCCTCAGTACTACATAAACACAAAAGGCCAGAAGTGGCGCTGTGGCTCATGTGGTAGAGTGCCAGCCTTGAGCAAAAGAAGCTCAGGGACAGTGCCTAGGCCCGAATTCAAGGTCCAGGTCTGGCAAAAGAAAAAGCAAAAAAAAAAAAAAAAAAGGAAGAAAGGAAAAAGAAAAATGAAGAAAGGAAGAAATGAATGAGAAAGAAGGAACTAAGAAGAAAGGGGCCTAATTTGGACATTCAAATGAAGACTCTTATCTCCAATAAACCACAAAAACCAAAAGTGGCACTGTGGTTCCAGTGGTAGAGCGCTCACCTTGAGCTGATAAGAGCTCCCAGATAGTGCCCAGGCCCAGAGTTCAAACCCCACAACCAACAACAAAAGGTAGATACAAAAGTTCTTCAAACTATGCAGAACCACATTCAGCTCTATACATAATATTACATTCAATATATGGTAGGATTTCAAATTCAGATTTCTCAACAGGCACACATCATTAGCTTTCTTTGTTGCAGTGCTGGAGATTGAACCTATGACATTAGGGGAATCCTTTGAAGGCTTACTCTAAAGCATCTCAGAAAAATATACCTTATCTCCATCCATAAACCTCTGTTTTTCTGTAATATTTAGTATTTCAACAGGCACATCAAGTTCAGATCGTGATTCGTAAGAAATGCTTCCATCGTCGTTGCTCACTACTCGCCCCTTTCGTCCAGTCATCTGAAAGACAAACAGCAGGACTCAGTGTCAGTACTAAACTAAGGAGTAGGAAACTTGGGTGATGCACCTGGCACTGGGTGTACAAAACACTGCAATAAGAAAAGCTAAGAAAGCTGGTTGCTAGTAGCTCATGCCTATAATCCTAACTACTCAAGAGGCTGAGATCTGAGGATCTCAGTTCAAAGCCAGTCTGGGCAGGAAAGGCCATGATCACAAACTGGTGCATGGTAAGTGTAACATCCAAACAGAGGCTCAGAACAAACTCTCACAAAATAGGCTTGAGATGATGACTCAGAAGCTTAAGGATGGTAACTAAAGCACAACGAGGGCAGTAAGAATCACCAGAGGAAACTCAAAAGTTATGAGGACACTCAAAATACCATTATTCTTTGAGGTTTAAGTAAAATTTCAAAGTGGCAAAAATGCTACCAAGAATAGACATCCCTTTTTACCTCAGCAACGTTCTCAGGGCCACCCAGCTCATCAATAAGTTCATCCAGGGTATTAGGAGGGAGGTCTTCTGCTAACTTTTCTAGTTTATCAAGCAGGTCTTTCTTCATCTGTTGGGCCCTTTCCACAGCATCCTGACTTGTTATAAGGCTATTGGTACTGTTGGTGTTACTGTTAGCTAAATAAGAATGCATGTTAAAAATCAGCACAAGCACAAACATCTTGTATCATTTAATGTTACACTTCAAAGATAAACCTAGTTTCTATATAGATACCTGGTGCACTGTTAGGAGCAGGTGAGATGACTGGTGTGGATGAAAAACTAGGTCGTTTGGATCCAAGACCTGATGCTAATAAGGCACTTTGAATAGAATCTGGATCTATACTTTTCTTCTTTTTTTTATCTTTGCTTTTTTTGTGGTCTTTTCTGATTAACCAGGGATCTGAAAGTAAAGAGGTATATATTTGTTACTTGTTAAAACACATGGCCTCAAAAGTGATCCTTCATTTATTTTATTGTTAACTAATTTAATTGTAAGGTCATCACCAACTTTAGTAGAAGTGTGTGTGCCAGTACTGAGCGGTATCCCTGACTTTTTCACATTAGGCTGGCATAATACCACTTGAGCGGCCATTCCATTTCTGGTTTTTTTGGTGGTTAATTTGAGATATGAATCTTAGAGATCTCCTGGCAAGGTTGGCTTTGAACGGTGCTCCTCATTATCTCAGCTTTTTAAGTAGTTTAGGATTATAGGTGTGAGCCTCCATTCCAAGTTTTGAGGTAAAAATAACTATACAAAGCTAGGTAGCAAGGGCTCATGCCTTACTGCATCTATTTGGGAGACAGAGCCTGGGAGACAGAGATAAGAACTGTATGCAGCCTAGGGCCAGCCCTGGATAAAACCAAAAGAACCCATCTGAAAAATAAAGCAACAAAGGTTGGGTGTATAGTTCAAGTAGCAGGGAACTTGCCCATCAAGGATGAAGTCCCCTCCAGAGCTCAGACTCCAGAACTGTCCCAAAGTGTAACGAAACAAAACAAATGGCCTTCAAAAGAGGATCTGGCAAGCCGGGGCGCTGGTGGCTCACGCCTATAATCCTAGCTACTCAGGAGGCTGAGATCTGAGGATCTTGGTTCAAAGCCAGCCCGGGCAGGAGAGACTGTGAGACTCCTATCTCCAATAAACCACCAGAAAACCGGAAGTGGCACTGTGGCTCAAGTGGTAGAGCTCTCGCCTTGAGCTGAAGAGCTGAGGGACAGCGCCCAGGCCCAGAGTTCAAGCCCCACGGCCGACCAAAAAAAAAAGAGGATCTGGCCAGGTGCCAAGGGCTTATGCCTGTAATTTTAGCTGCTCAGAAGGCTGAGATCTGAGGATTGTGGTTCAAAGCCAGCCCAGGCAGTGTAGTCAGTGAGACTCCTATCTTCAACTAGCCACTGAAAAAGCCCAAAGAGAGGCTGTGTCTCAAGTGGTAGAGTGCTTTAGCCTTGAGCTCAAAAGCTTAGGGAGAACACCCAGGCCCAGAGCTCAAGTCCCAGGACTGGCAAAAATATAAAAACTAAACCATAAGGGGCTGGGAAGGTGGCTTAGTGGTAGAGCACTTGCCTTGCATGCCTGAGGCCCTGTGTTCGATTCCTCAGCACCACATAAGCAAAAAGAAAAACGCCAGAAGTTGCACTGTGGCTCAAGTGGTAGAGTGCTAGCCTTGAGCTGAAGAGCTGAGGGACAGCGCCCAGGCCCAGAGTTCAGGACCCACGACTGGACCCAACAACAACAACCAAAAAAAACTAAAGCATAAAAAGGGTCAAATCTTCAAAAGGCAGAAACAAGCCTCTTTCCTTAGAATTTGTATAATCATTTACAATACACATTCATTAAGAGAAAAGTTCCAATACTAATGTCCCCAGCCAAGGAGCTGGGAGGCCCTTACTTTGTGTGTGCAGCACCGCAAATCCACATAGTAACTTACCATCCTCATCATCTTCACTAGACTCATCTCTAAACGGGTTAAAATCATCATCATCGCCGGAGCTCATGTTTTTAGAGCTCTCATAATCACTTTCTTCATTGTCCGAGGCATCAGACTCACTTCCACTGTCATCAGAACTGCTACCAGCAAGACCACCCACTTTTCGTGCTTTTTTTGCTTCTCGAGTTATTTCTTCACCTATCCTCCGAGCCCCAAACAAGAGTCCACCAGGAAATATGAAGGAAAAGAAGACATATTTAGTTCATAGGTTACTTCACATGAGAAGTGCAGAGGAATGTATTTATACATGTTAACAATAAATACAATTCAGAGATAAGCAATAACCTTTTGGATTGCCCTAAGTACTTGTTATGCTCAAAAAAAACTTGGGCTGGGAATGTGGCTTAGTGGCAGCCTACTTGCCTAGCATGCATGAGCCCCAGGTTCCATTCCTCACTACCACATATAAACAGAAAGAGCCAGAAGTGGAGCTGTGGCTGAAAGTGGTCGAGTGTTAGCCTTAAGCAAAAGAAACTCAGGGACAGTGCCCAAACCCCAGGACTGGCAAAAAAAAAAAAAAAAAAGAAAAAAAGAAAAGATATTTAAGTACACTACCATCTAGTATACATCTTACAACAAATCAAGACAACAGATTTAAAACCACCCCTTGGCCCCGTAATTCATGCTTTTTTGGTTGTTGTTGGTTGTAGGGCTTGAACTCTGGGCCTGGCCACTATCTCTAAGGTTTTTTGCTCAAGCCTAGTGCTCCACCACTTTGAGCCACAGCACCACTTCTGGTTTTCTGGTTGTTAACTAGAGATAGCGTCTCACAGACCTAGCTCAGTTCCTGGTCTATTTTCTTTTGTATGCATTGTTCATAAGACACATGATCCTGGAAACATTCTTAACCTCTTATTCTTTCTATGCTTAAATTTTCTGTCTATAAAGCTGAACAAAATAACTGGGAGCTCCATGCCTGTAATCCTACTACTCAGGAGGCTGAGATCTAAAGATCACGGTTCAAAGCCAGCCCTGGGCAGGAGACTGAGACTTTTTTTTTTTTTTGGGGGGGGGTGTCCAGTCATGGGGCCTAAACTCTGGGCCTGGGTGCTGTCCCACAGTTCTTCAGCTCAATGCTAACGCTCTACCACTTGAGCCACAGTGCCACTTCTGGCTTTTTTCTTTTTGTTTAATGTAGTGCTAAGGAATCGAACCCAGGGCCTCAGGCATGCAAGGCAAGTGCTCTACCACTGAGCCACCTTCCCAGCCCGAGACTGAGACTCTTATCTCCAATAAAGCACCAGAAAACCAGAAGTGGTGCTGTGGCTCAAGTAGTAGAGCGCTAGCCTTGAGCTGAAGAGCTAAGGGATGGCATCCAGGCCCACAGTTCAAGCCCCATGACAAAAAAAAAAGCTGAAAAAATAAGAACTAATCTCCTAAGGATCTGTAAGTTGGTCAAAATGATTCAATGTGTAGCTACTATAGGCTTCCCCAGTGTGCCAGCACCAGTGAACTGTGCCAGTTTTAATTTAAAACACAAGTACCACTCACCTTTCCGCTTCTTTATTTTATTTTCTTTACAAGGACTATCTCTTGGTGAACTGTTGTTGCTTGGAGCTGACAGATCAATTCCTAGCAAACTATACAGTTTTTTCCTGTCTGGAGCAGGGAAATGTTTTTCAATGAGTGACTGAAGCACCCCTCTGTTGGAGAAAAATAATACCAGTTACTGGCTCACTGGATAAAAGAAAAACTGTATATAAGAGTTTTACTGGAGGGCTGGGAGTGTGGCTTAGTGGTAAAGTGCTTGCCTAGCAACATGAAGCCCTGGGATCGATTCCTCAGTACCACACACACAGAAAAAGCCAGAATTGGGACTGTGGCTCAAGTGGTAGACTGCTAGGTTTGAGCAAAGTAAGCTCAGGGATACAGCCCGGGCTGAGTTTAAATTTAAGGATTAGCAAAATAAAAAAATCTTACTGGATATCTTTCCTTTTTTTTTTGGACATAGGGCTTGAATTCTGGGCCTGAGTGCGGTCCCTGAGCTTTTTCACTCAAGCTAGTACTCTACCACTTCAAACCACAGCATCACTTCCAAAGTTCTGGTGGTTAACTGAAAATAAAGAATCTCACAGAATTTTGTGGCCAGGCTGGTTTTGAACCATGACCCTCAGATCTCAGCCTCCTGAGAATCTAGAATTACATATATAAGCCATTGACACCCAGCTGTACTGGATATATTTCATTAAGAGAAATATAATTTATTCAATCTAAAAAATACTATAACCCAGCTCAACTCATTCGTAATTTTCTAGGCCAACCCTGTCTGAAATATAATGTAAGCCAAGGTACATATGCAATTTTTATTATTTTTAGAAACTATATTAAAAACTTTCAAGCCGGTGCCACTGGCTCAAGCCTATAATCCTAGCTACTCAAGAGGCTGAGATCTGAGGATCGAGGTTCAAAGTCAGCCCGGGCAGGAAAGTCCAGGAAAGGCCGTGAGACTCCTATCTCCAATAAACCACTAGAAAACTGGAAGTAGAGCTGTGGCTCAAGCGGTAGAGCGCTTGCCTTGAGCTAAAGAGCACAGGGACAGCGCCCAGGCCCAGAGTTCAAGCCCCATGACTGACGCCCCCAAAAGAAAACTTTCAAAGAGAACAGAGCATATCGGCACATTCCTGGAGTGAAAATGTCAAAATGAGTTAAACACTAGCCTGGGCAATAACTGGAAGTGGTGCTGTGGTTCAAGGTGGTAGAGCACGGGCCTTGAGCTGAAGTGCTCAGGGACAGCACCCAGGGCCAGACTTAAAGCCACACAACCACCACCACCAACAACAAAATAATAATAAGCAACGAAGTATACGTGAAACCCAGCTGGGCACTGGTGGTGCCACTGATGACTGTAATCCTGGCTATTCAGGAGGCGGGGATCTGAGGATCATGGTTCAAAGCCAATCTGGGTAGATAAAACTGAGAGCCTCCTATCTTCAATGAAACACCAGAAAAGTGGAACAATGGCTCAAAGTGGTATAGCACTAGCTCTGAGCAAAAGGAGCTTCGGACAGTGCCCAGGACTTGATTTCAAACCTTATGACTGGAGGAGGCGAGGTGAGCTGGGGCAGGGATGGGGGGGGCAGGGGGAGGAGGAGAGGGGTGATAACATTCCAAACCTTATGACTGGAGGAGGCCAGGTGAGCTGGGGTGGGGTGGGGGAGAGATAACATTCCTCCTCCTGAACTGGTTTTGAATTATGATTCTTTTTTTTTTCAGTTGTGGGTCCTGAACTGTGGGCCTGGGCGCTGTCCCTCACCTCTTCAGCTCAAGGCTAGGTCTACCACTTGAGCTACAAGACCACTTCCGCTTTTTCTGCTTATGTGGTCCTGAGGAATTGAACCCAGGGCCTCATGTACGCAAGGCAAGCGCTGTACCACTGATCCACCTTCCCAGCCCCTCGTTTCTTATTTCACCTTAAAGTAAGGTTTTTGCATTTTTTTTTTTAAATGATACTAGGTATTGGACCTGGAGTGCTGTACCTGCTAGGCAAGCATTTTGTCACTGAGCTACACCCCAGCCCTCTTTGCAACATGTACCCTAGCTGACCATGTACTTCCTGCCTCTAACTTGAGCCATTTGCCAACATATCCACTGTGTTTTTCACTCTTCCAAAGTAGTTTTCAATTATACAGGTAAGAAGTAGTCTGGTGGTAAAGGTTGTGCTGATAATTTTTTCTACTAGAATTCCAGCTTTAACTCTGCTAGTTACGTTTATACAGTTTGTTATACTGGAGTGAACTGGATTTAATGTTCTGGAAAACATAAAACTGAAACTACAATTAAAGCACAGTACTGTAGTTCCCAATAAACACATTATCAAGTCCTTCTATCAGTCCACGTGCTTGTTAATATGGACAAAATGTTGAACATTTCAGTATGATATCTTTCTGCACTATTGCTTCCTGATACACTATTACACAAGAAAGCACAGACTGCAAAAACTCAGACACAAGCTTTTCTTCCTTTTTCTTTTGGTGGGGTTTGAACTCTGGGCCTGAGCGCTATCCCTGAACAATTCAGCTCAAGGCTAGTGCTCTACAAACTTTAAGCCACAGTGCCACTTCTAGTTTTTGAGTGGTTTATTGGAGTTGTCTCTCATGGGAACTTCTTTTTCTGGGCTGGCTTTGAAGGGCAAATCCTCAGACCTCAGCTTCCTGAGTACGACGGATTATAGTTGTAAGCTACTGGCACCTGGCAGACAAAACCTTTTCTGCTCAAGGGTGGCACACTACCACTTGCGACAAAGCTCTACTAATGGCTTTAGTGGTTAAGTAGAGAAAGAGTGTCACAGGCTTTCCAGCCCAGGCTGGCTTTGAGTTACAATCCTAAAATCTCAGCCTCTAAAGAAGTTAGCATTATAGGCATGAGTTACCAGTACGTGGCCAGAAAAGCTTTTTAGTAAGTGAATAAAAATTTCACCTCAAGGAAATAAATAATAAATAAAATGAATTTTAAAAACCACAAAATTAAAACCTTACTTGGCAGTTGAAACAAAATCATTTAGTTCTCCTCCACCCTCTTCCAAGGCTTCTAAAGTTCTAGCTTCTCCTGTAGACTGCAGACCAATTACAACACACTAGAGGAGAATATGTTGATGGGAAATAAAGAATAATAAAAACACATTTCAAGTATTTAGTAAAAACCATTTTTTAACCAATTTCAAAGAATGACAATATTAAACCATATGTATGCTTCATTTATTATATTTAAGATATATGATGCAACAAAAACTTAGGACTAGTTTATAATAATATACATAACTAATATCCCGCCCTCACAAAGGATGTTTTAGTACATACATGTTTGCCAAAAACCAACTTTAAGGTCAAATGCACAGGAAACCAGTGTTGGCAGCTATGGATGGCCACATTAACCAAATGCTGCTTATTCTCTAAATGTAATTTCTATGTGCATTCTCAAAAAAGTATATTTAAAATCTTATCACATTATTATGTCTACAATTAGCCTTTAGGAATACCAGATTAAAGCCGGGCATCGGTGTCTCAGGACTATAATCCTAGCTACTCAGGAGGCTGAAATCTGAGAATTGTGGTTCAAAGCCAGCCCAGGTAAGAAAGTCCGTGAAACTCTTATTTCCAATAAACCACCAGAAAATGAGAAGTGGTGCTGTGGCTCAAGTGGTAGAGTGCTAGCTTTGAGCTGAAGAGCTGAGGGACAGTGCCCAAGCCAAAAGTTCAATCCCCATGACCACAAAAAAAAAAAAAAGAAGAAAAAAAAGAAAAAAACCACTCTCATAAAAATCTGAATTTTCTTAATGTGTTCTTCCAACTTACTTTTCCATTCTTGATTTCTTCTCGGGCAAGTTGCACAACCCTTTTAACTTTTGATGCTATGCACAAGTACTTGAAAAACCTTTGGTGAGCAGACCAGAACTGACCCCACATGGACTTCTTCATCCGCTGTTCAGCATCCATCAGATCTGCAGCTTGCTGAAACCGCTCTCTTGCAATGACCCACTGAAGACATACAGTCCACATTTTAGGCATTTCATCTTTGAATTTAGAACTGACCCATGATTCAGTCTACAGTAACTTAGTAACTCCCAGTGCATACAGTTATCTCCGAATCCTTACTATCTGATGCCATTTTTGAAAAATAATATGTGAATGAAACAACGGGTGCTAAGCATGAATTATTCAATAAAGCAAAACGGTAATTTGAGTTTCACAGCAAAAATGCATCCTGATACTATAATGGACGAAACTAAAAGAAACACCTTCAGAACATTAAAACATTAGGAATTTCCAAACATTTCTCACCAGCTTCACTGCTTTGTTATACATTTTAACATAGCTCTGTGAAAGAAGAACTTCCTCGATTTTGAAGGTCACTCCGGTAAAGCTAAGCTGTCGAGCAATGTACATGCCTCGGAGTTTCATGTCCATAGCAACTATCTCCATGGCACCAACACCTCTGAATAAAATTAAAACACACAGTAACGATCAATAAATAAAGTAGGACTTGAACACAAAATGACAAGAGTTTTGGCAGGAACATATCTCTTAGACTGCTACTGAGAACAGAGTGCATTACCTGCGCTCCACTGCTTGAATGAAATCACTGAATTCTCTAAATGGAGTTCCTTCACCCCATATTCCAAGACGGTTCATATAGGCCATGTTGCGAGGTTCAGAAGCACCTGGAAAATCCCCCAATATATTATAGCTGCAAAAATAATATACACATACCTTTTTAATTAGATAACTAACTCACCAGTGGCACTAGCATAGACAACTCTGGCCTTTGGCAATTTGTTCTGAAGCTCTAGAACTGCCAACCCTGTCTTGGTTGGTTTTGAAGAACCAACAGGACATAAGTTTTTTGCTTTATGACACTCATCGAACACTATCTGTAAACACAGAGTTAAGGAGTAGTGTCTGCAAACTTTCAAGAGCATTCATCATTTCCCTGAAGCCCTCAGGTTGCATTTTTTTTTTTTTTTGTCAGGTGTGGGACTTGAACTCTAGGCCTGGGTACTGTCCCTGAGCTGGTCAGCTCAAGGCCAGTGCTCTATCACTTAAGCCACAGCGCCACTTACAGTTTTCTGGTGGTTAATTGGAGATAAGAGTCTCATAGAATTTCCTGCCAGGGCTAGCTTTGAACCCCGATCCTCAGATCTCAGCCTCCTGAGTAGCTACTAGGATTATAGATGTGAGTACCAGTGCCTGGCTGCTTTCTTTGGATCATAAACATCCATCTTTCCTCCGTTCTGTCTTTTCTCATTTAGGATCTGAGACACCCACTGACTTTGATACTTCTCTGCCTATTGGATTCTTTAGATCTAATGAATCAGTCCACCTCAGATTATTTTGATAAATTCTATATACAGTACATAATTGGCCACAAATTTAACCAGTATCTGAATCTTCGTATGGGAAATGAATAATCAAATCTCCCATAACTTTTTTTTGTTGTTGTTGGATGTGGAGTTTGAACTCAGGGCCTGGATACTGTCCCTGAGTTTTTTTGCTCAAGACCAATGCTCTACCACTTTGAGCCACAGTGCCACTTCCTGTTTTCTGATGGTTAACTGGAGATAAGAGTCTAGTGGAGCCAGGCGCTGGTGGCTCATGCCTATAATCCTAGCTACTCAGGAGGCTGAGATCTGAGGATCGAGGTTCAAAGCCAGCCTGGGCAGGAGAGACCGTGAGACTCCTATCTCCAATAAACCACCAGAAAACTGGAAGTGGCGCTATAGCTCAAGTGGTAGAGCACTCGCCTTGAGCTAAAGAGCTGAGGGACAGCGCCCAGGCCCAGAGTTCAGCCCCATGACCGAAAAAAAAAAAAAAAAAAAAGTCTCATGGACTCTCCTGCCCAGGCTGACTTTGAACATGATCCTCAGATCTCAGACTCCTGAGTGGCTTTAGCCACCAGAATCCAGCTTGCTAATATATTTTTTTTTGGGGGGGGGGGGGGGGAGTCATAGGGCTTCAACCCAGGGCACGGGAGTTGTCCCTGAGCTTGTTTTGCTCAAGGCTAGCACTATATCACTTGAGCCACTGCACCACTTCTGGCTTTCTCTGTTTATGTGGCACTGAGGAATCGAAACCAGGGCTTCATGAATGCTAGGAAAACACTCTACCACTAAGCCACATTTCCAACTGCCTTGCTAAAATTTTCTAACCCAGGTACTTAATACCATCTTCTATGTGCCAGATATAAACAGAGTAAGTTACCAGGCCCCTGGAACTATAATCTGTTACATGCTCACTCCACACAATTTATTCACAGTAGAATGAAAGTTTTTTTTTAAAAAAAGGAAAAGAAACAGCAAGTTAAACTCAATGCCAGGACAATGACCTTGCCAGGTTCAAGACTTAAGGGAAGAGAACACACATTCATTTATTAAAGGATACAACTCCATCGAAGTCATCACCACACCAGTGTAGAAGTTGTTTTAATCTAGTTTTATATTTACCACCAGACTGACTTTCACCAATAAGGGAAGAATAGGTAGCAAAAATAACACCCTTTTTCACACTCCCATTATGCTTGGAAGAAATTTTTCCATATTTAAACTGAAAAAAAGGAAAGAAGAAATTAATTAGCATGTCTTTCTCAGAAACATTCTGTAGCATGACTTCTTAACTGGGTATTCTCATGACAGGTTAGAAAAGTGACAATGACTCCTAAAAAGACCAACAACATTTCCTATATATGTATACACAGAGAACCTTGCAGCACAAGATGCAGTTTTCAAAGTCTCAATAAAAATTTACTAGCAGGGCTGGGAAGGTGGCTCAGTGGTAGAGCACTTGCCTTGCATGCGTGAGGCCCTGGGCTCGATTCCTCAGCACCACATAAGCAAAAAGAAAAAAGCTGGAAGTGGCGCTGTGGCTCAAGTGGTAAGGCACTAGCCTTAAGCTGAAGAGTTGAGGGAAAGCGCCCAGGCCCAGAGTTTAGGCCCCCCGAATGGACCCCCCAAAAAAATTCACTAGCAAAAAAATTTAAAAATCAATGGGGCACTGGTATCTCACATCTGCAATCCTAGCTACTCAGAAGGCTGAGATCTGAGGATCATGATTTTGAAGCCAGCCAGAGCAGAAAAGACTATGAGACTTAGATTTCCAATCAACCACCTAAAACCAGAAGTGGAGCTGTGGCTCAAAATGGCGGAGCTCAGAGACAGTGCCCAGGCCCCAAGTTCAAGCCCCATGACCAACAAAAAGAAAAAGAATCGGGACTGGGAAGGTGGCTCAGTGGTAGAGCGCTTGCCTTGCATGCCTGAGGCGCTGGGTTCGATTCCTCAGCACCACATAAGAAAAAAGAAAAAAGCCAGAAGTGGCACTGTGGCTCAAGTGGTAGAGCGCTAGCCTTAAGCTAAAGAGCTGAGGGACAGCACCCCAGGCCCAGAGTTCAAGCCCCACGACCAGACCAAAAAAAAAAAAAAAAAGAAAGAAAGAAAAAGAATCTAAAAATTTAAAAATCAAACTCTCCTGTAAGTCACAATACTTGTTCTACAAATGCTCATGTGCTCTTATTATATGCAAAACATTATGGTTAAATTGAGGAATATGTAAAAAATTATAAATAGTTAACATGCCCTTTAATTAAATTTACTTTTAATTTCTGGGATTTTTTTCCCCCCCAGGCATGGGGCTTGAACTCAGGGTTTGCGCCCTGTCCCTGAGCTTCTTTTGCTCAAGGCTAACACTCTACCACTTGAGCCACAGTGCCTCTTCCTGCCTTTTTGGTATACATGTACTGAGGAGTCCAACCCAAGGCTTCATGCATGCTAGGCAAGCACTCTACCACTAAGCCAAATTCCCAGCCCATAATTTCTGAGAAATTTTAAAAGAGTGAGTTCTAGCCCAAGCAGGAAATTCTACATGATTTTTATTTCCAATAAACTACTTAGAAAAAGGTGGAAGGTTCGCTGTGGCTCATGTGGTAGAGTACTAACAGGGAGACACTAAAAGGTATGTCAGTTTTATCTAGACAAGCAAGAATAGGTGAACAGTATGTCAACAGAGGTTTGTTAAGTGAACATTAAACTACCAATAATCACAAATTGTTTTAGACACTCGACACTCATTTTCTTCCCCTATATGAAACTTTTTCCACATGAAAATTGTAGAGATATTTAAACCCATTAGGTAAACAAATACAGGGAACAGACTCTAAATCACAGTAATTCTTTATACAATTAACAGTATTCAAGTGCCTAATGATAGTCCAATTCTAGAAGGGAAAAAAAAGACTGAAAAAGAATTGCATTATAAGAGGGACACTTCCTATCTGTCTGCCAAAACATCAGCACTGCCTAGCATGATATTCGGCATAAAGTAACCTTCACATCTGCAGAAATATCAAGCACTGGCTGGCACAGATGACTCATGCCTGTAATCCTAGCTACTCAGAAGGTTGAGATCTGAGGATTGCAGTTCAAAGCTAACCCAGGCAGGAAACTCCATGAGACTCTTATCTCCAATAAACCACTAGAAAACTGGAAGTGGCGCTGTGGCTAAAGTGGTAGAGTGTTCATCTGAGCTGAAGAGCTGAGGGACAGTACCCAGGCCCGAGTTCAAGCCCCACGACCAACCCCTCCCCCCCAAAAAAAGAGCTGAAGGAGAGCACCCAGGCCCAGAGCTCAAGCCCTATGACCGCCAAAAAAAAAAAAAAAAACACCTGCTGTACTTCCTGTGGAGAAACTCACTTAACCCTCACCACAACTGTATAGTGGAAACTATGACTCCATCATGAAGGCATCAATACTGAATGGCCAACTCAACACAATGGGGCTTGGAGATGGGAAGGTGGCTCAGCGGTAGAGTGCATGCCTTGCAAGCATGAGGCCCTGGGTTCGATTCCTCAGCACCACATAAACAGAAAAAGCCGGAAGTGGCGCTGTGGCTCCAGTGGTAGAGCACTAGCCTTGAGCTGAAGAGCTGAGGGACAGCGCCCAGATCCAGAGTTCAGGCCCCATGACCGGCAAAACAAACAAACAAACAAATAACACAATGCGGCTCATACCTTATTTAATGAATGGACTAAAATGTTTTTTGCTCCAATATCCCTCAAATCTCTTTCAGCATCATACTTTAAGTCATTGGAAACACTAAACCTGAAATTTAAAAAATAAAATTACATCATTCTACAGAATTCAAGAAGAAAGCCAGGTCTTCACACTTTAAAAAATACACTGGGGCGGGGCAGGGGGGAGGGGGAGGGGAGAAGTGTAGTTGTGGAGATGGGAGGGCAGGGATGGTAGGGGAAAAACAAGAGGCGGCAGCAACACTCGATTAGAAATGTACTCATTACCTTGCTCATGTAATTGTAACCCTCCTCTGTACAGTATTCTCACAATAAAAAACTTATAACCCTTTCTTACAATTCCTTAATAATAATAACAAAAATATGCTTAAACCCATTTCCACATGATGAAGTATGTACAAAGGCAAGTCCCTGGCACTTACCACAGGGCTCTTTTCCTACTCAACAAGTAATTTTCATAGATGATCCCTGCTATTGTCCTGCCTTTCCCTACACCAGCACCATCACCTATTAAGAAGCCAGCACGATCTCCATTTGGCAGGAATGTTTCATGTTGCTAAAAAAGAAAAACTGGTAATTAATCCTTCATAGACATCAATTCATCTTGAATATACAGTTTAAGAATCATACTGATACCGCTTTTACATAATCGGCGTAAGATTTGGCCTTTTCTGAGTATATTGTTGAACTTAAAGCCTTACACTTACTCATCTTGTTCACTCACTCAGGGGGCACTTTACCACTTTGCCTTCAGCCTGGCTTTTTGCCGGTTCTTTGGAGCTGGGGTCCTAAGGACTTCACTAACTGGTCTACTTTTCAACTGCAGACCTTCTGATTTCAGCCTCCTGAGTAGCTGGGATTACAGACATGAGCCACCAATACCTAGCCAAGTAAAAATACTTAACTTTTTGTTGTTAATCGTGGGGCCTGAACTCTGGGCCTAGGCTCTTCAGCTCAAGGCTAGCACTCTACCATTTGAGCCACAGTGTCACTTCCAGCTTTTTCTACTTAGGGGGATGCTGAGGAATTGCACCCAGGGCCTCATCATGCAAGGCAAGCACTCTACCACAGAGCCACCTTCCCAGCCCCCAAAATATTTTTGTGTGTGGGTGGGTCGTGGGGTTTGAACTTTAGGCTTGGGCATTATCCCTCTTCAGTTCAAGGCGAGCCCTCTATGGCTGGAGCTACAGCGTCACTTCCGGTTTTCTAGTGGTCTACTGGAGATAAAGAGTCTCACAGACTTTCCTGCCCGGGCTGGCTTTGAACCTCGATCCTAAGATCTCAGCCTCCCGAGTAGCTAGGATGACAGGTATAAGTCACCGGCACCCGGCTCCAGCCGGGCATACAGGTATCATATATTTCCCTCCAAGGTGCCGTGTACTAAAAAGCTATTAACAAGTGGTGAAGAGTCTTCCATATTCTTTTCAAACTTTACGTAATGAAATACAACTTACATCATATATTATAGTGGATAGCTGGCTATTTAGGTCATTACTTATTTTACAGAAATGGAATATGACTAGAACAACTGATCTAACTCTAGCCCACATAATATTAAAAGCCTATTTGATACCTTAAAAGTACAGTAATACCATTCTAGTTACCCACACATTAACAAGTCTGAGCACTCAAAACTTTTACAAACTTTTAAAGCTGGAGGAAGCAAGAAATGTCCTAATATGTATGCTCTTAACTAAGGAACAAATTCCTAAGACCAGAATTGTTAGGTGAAAGATATGTGTATTTTTCATTTTAACATAAATTCTCAAAAAGCCCCAAAAGCTGACAAATTTGTCTCTTCCACTGGAAATACACTTCTCATATCATTCTCAATCTACTAACATCTAAATTTCCTTTAAAAAATTACTTCCAAAGCCAGGTGTTGGTAGTTCACACCTGTAATCCTAGCTAC